CAGAGGCAGGTGGATCTCTGTGAGTTCGAGGCCAGCCTGATCTACATAGCGAGTTCCAGGTCAGCTGGGGCTACAGGGAGACCCTGTCTCAAAAAGACCAAAAAATATATATTTTTTTAATTTATGCCTGGCATGGTGGCACATGCCTTTAATCCCAGCACTTGGGAGGCAGAGGTGAGCGGATCTTTGTGAGTTAGAGGCCAGCCTGGTCTACAAACCAAGTTCCAGGACAGCTGGGGCTACAAGGAGGCCCTGTCTCAAAAAGCCAAAAAAAAATTTTTTTTTAAATGGGATGGGGAGCTGGGTCAGCAATTAAGAGCACTAGCTGCTCTTGCAGAGGCCCCGGTTCAGTTCCCAGCACCCACATGACAGCTAACAAGCATCTGTAACTCCAATTCCAAGGAAATCCAATGCCTTCTTCCGACCTCCGTGGGCACTGCATGACATGGGTGCACTTACATGCATGCAGGCAATACACTCATAGGAATAAAACAAAAAAATATGAAAATATGAAATAGAGCTGGAGAGACAGCTCACAGTTAAGAACACTGTTCTTGCAGAAGACCAGGGTTTGAATCCCAGAACCCACATGGCAGCTAACAGCTGTCTATAATTCCAGTTCCAGGTGATCCAACAGCCTCTTCTGTCCTCTGAGGGCATTGCATGACACAAGTGCACTTACCTACATGCAGGCATAACACTCACACACATAAAATAAAAATAATAAAATATTTTTAAAAACGGCCAGGCATGGTGGTACATACCTGTAATCCCAGCACTTAGGAGGCAGAGGCAGGCAGATCTTTGTGAGTTTGAGGCCAGCCTCGTCTACATAGTGAGTTCCAGGACAGCTGGGGCTACAAGGAGACCCTGTCTCAAAAAGACAAATAATTAATTAATTAATTAATTAATTAATTATAAAATGAAAAACCCAAAGAGGGTAACCAAGTGTGGTGACTCATGTCTTTAATCCCAGCAGCACTCAGGAGGCAGAAGCAGGCAGATTTTGTGACACTGAGGCCAGCCTGGTCTACATAGTGAGTTCCAGGCTAGCTGTGGCTACAGGGAGATCCTGTTTCAAAAAGGCAAAGCAAACAAACAAAACCAGAGAGGTCAACATTTGCCAGCAGTCACACAGCAAGTTGGAGGGAGCCCAGTCCTGCATGCTTCCTTTCTTGTTCATGCCTCCCCCCCACAAAGAGATGCTGGAGGCTCAGGGGACTTAGCCCCCTGTCCCTCTCTACCCCAAGCCAGCCTTACCTTCACTGGGCCTCCGGGCGAGTGAGTAGGCAGGGCTGGTTGTCTTGGTGCAGTCATGGTTGGTGTAGCCAACAGTGGATGGAAGAACATATAAGCCAGGCCTGGAGCCTGCAACCCAGAACCAAGGTCAGGCTTAGGGCTGGGAACCTTGAGTGATTGAGCAAAGACTCCCACCCCACCCCAGACCTCAACCACCCTCCACAGCAGAGTGGGGAGAGGGGCTACCTCCCTGAGGAATTGAACAACACCTGCATTGTAAGGCATGAATCACAGAGTGGATGTGGACGGGGTGGGGCAGCAGCCACATCATACAGGGGCTTGAAGAGAAGAGGCTGAGGGAGAGACTGAATCACAGGGAGGGAAACTGAGGCCAGAGAAGAGACCAACACAGGTGGGGAAACTGAGGCTAGGAACCAAAAGATTGTCACAGGTGGGAAACTGAGGCTCAGAACAGTGACACCATTAACGTGTGAGGAGGCTGAAACCAGAACAAAGAGATTGTCACCAGAGGAAGCTGAGGCCAGAGAAGAGAGACCAACACAGGCAGGGGAGCTGAGGCTGGTGACATAGAAACCGTCATGAAGGGGGAAACTGAGGCTGAGGACATAAAACCCATCACGAGGGGGGAAACACCATCCCACAGGTAGAGAAATTGAGACATGGTGCTGGCTATGGAGCCTGGCATATGGCTGGCTCTGCTATGCATCCAAGGAGGGGAAACTGAGGCACAGGCTGCAGCCTGATTCCCATACATACTAATGTCTCCACCTCTGAGCATCTAGCCCCAACCCTGTGGCACATTTCACCCTGATGCTTCGTGGTCCACACACACACCAGATTCCCTCCCTCTGCTACCCTACAGTGACAGGTGTCAGGCTTGTAGGGCCAGCAGACCCCCATAGTCAGCCCATCATGCTGGAAAGCAGACTGAGGTTTGGGGATAGACGGACCTGCTTCAGTTCCTGCGTCATGCTGGATTCTAGAACATCCCAGGAGCCCCACTGGGGGGCCAGGAGGAGCCCTCCCCACACTGTGCCAGCACGTACCATTCTGCAGGGTGGTCACTCCACAGGACTTCCGAAGCCCGGTCTCTGGGATGTTGCCTTCAGCCACCTGGTGGGCCAGGGGCACAGTGGCCAGTCGGGCCGCAGGGTCGCAGCTGAGCGTCCCCATGATGAACAGGACCTGATGCCAGCTCCTGTCCTCTGCTGCTCTGGAGCCACAGGCCAGGCACTGTCCCCAATCCTGACAGCTTGGCTAGTGCTGGCAGAGGTCTGGACTCACCACACCCTCCCATCACCACACAGACGGCCCCTTGTCCCTAAGCACAGATCTCGGGGCCTGGCCAGAGCTCGGCCGGACGCTGGCCTGGAAGTGAAGCTGGGATCAAGTGTCAGCCAGGTGGCTGGATGGTCCAGGAAAGAATCCAGTGTCAGTCGAGCAGGTCCCCAGGGAGGCGGCTGAGCTGGGCCAAGGGGCCAGGTCAGGTCCCTAGGGAGCCAGAACCTCAAACAGAACACCCAGAGGAGCAGTGTGGACAGAGGGCACAGCAGCCCTGTTTCCACTGAGCTCAAGGCCATATACAACACTCTCCCAAGTCAGCCAGAATGCCCACTGGCTCCTTCCTTCCTTCCTTCCTTCCTTCCTTCCTTCATCTAGCAAATATGTACTAAGCACCTGCTGGATACCAAGCTTTGTTTTGGGGTGGTGGGGACAATACAAGAGCAGACTGGAAAGGGCACTGGTGGCCTTTGGAGGGAAGAGGATAATGTAAGAAAGGGGCTGGAGAGCCAGCTCAGTGGTTAAGAGCCCTGGCTGCCCTTGCAGAGGACCAGGGTTTGATTCCCAGCACCCACATGGTAGCAAAAAATCCAAAAGTCCAGTTCCAGGGGATCTGACACCCTTTTCTGGCCTCTTTGAGGCATTGCACACATGTGGTACACTTACGTATGTGCAAGCAAACATACATACACATAAATACATAAATGTAATAAATAGATTGTTCTGGTATGGTCCGTATGACAAGATGAAGTGCAGGGAGGATGATGTCAGTATGAGGGATCAACTGTACAAAGGTCCTGGGGCCAAGGACAGAGTAGTTAGTGTATTCTTTTGTTTTGTTTTGTTTTTGTTTTTTTGAAGTAGGGTCTTCCTGTAGCCCCAGCTGTCCTGGAACTCACTATGTGGACCAGGCTGGCCTTGAACTCACAGAGATCTGCTTGCCTCTGCTTCCTGAGTACACCACCACATCTGGTCCCTGTTAAGATTTTAGTACACCCATGTGCCCCCGCAGTCTCAGTTCACCCCAATAAACTTACAAGGTGGCTCTCTTTCTATTCCCAGGACTAAGGTATTCATCAGCCTGTATGGGTGGGGGTGCTGCTTCTGGATCCACAGGGCCTGCAGTGGTCCTCCCTCAAAATGAAGTCAGAAGCAGTCTGTAAAGTGGTGTCTCCTAAAGCCAGGCCCAGCCTCAAAACTCTGTCTTACACAAATTGGAATAACTTAGAGCAAGGCACAGCCTGATGAAAATGCTACCCCATCCTGCCTCTCTACAACCGGAGTCTCCCATCAGCCCAAATCAGTTAGGAATGCAGAAAGATGCCCACCATGACACTGGCCATACACCCTGAGCCAAGCAGAGAGAGGAAGCACCTGAGACACTCCTGAATCCCATCCAAAACCAGTTCTGCAACACTGTAGCCCAAGAACCAGGCAGGACTCCATTCCGGGTATCTCAGTGTCTCCATGGTGACCAGAGAAAGAAGTTAGGGCTAAGGCCCTGAGGTGGAGAAAGAGCTAAGATGAGAGTTCATAAGCCCAGAGCAATGGAGTGGGGAGAAGAGGAAGGGAGGGGAGGGATGGGACAAGTGGACGAGGTCTTATGTGGGCAGGAAAGATCTGGCTTTAACCATAGAGAAATAGCTTTGAGGACTGGAAAGAGCCAGGAGCCCATTGTACTCTGAGCTCAGACACCCTCTGGAGGATGAAAGAGAAGGCCAGAGTTTAAGTCTACACGTCTACAGGTCAATGGAGAGATACTAGGAAGGAGAGATGGGGATGGGAGGTGGAGACAGATAAAGGAAGATAGGAATGGGAGATGGGGAGGATGGGAAGAGGGAGAAGATGGTGGAGGATGATGGAGGGTGGAGGAGAATGATGGAAGGTGGGAGAGTATGGTAAAGGGTGGTGGAGGACGGGGATGGTGGAAGGTGGAGGATAGATGATAGTGGAGGATGGAGGATGAAGGATGGAGGGTGGAGGAGGGGGGAGGATGCAGGAGGATGGAAGATGGTGGAGGATGGAGGAGGGCAGAGGAGGACGGTGGAGGATGGAGGAGGATGGGGGAGGATGGTGGAGGATGGAGGAGGATGGTGGAGGACGGAGGAGGACGGAGGAGGATGGTGGAGGATGGAGGAGGATGGAGGAGGATGGTGGAGGATGGAGGAGGATGGAAGCTGGTGGAGGATGGAGGAGGATGGAGGAGGATGGAAGCTGGTGGAGGATGGAGGAGGATGGAGGAGGATGGTGGAACTTGGACAGCACTGTCAGTTGTATTCCATCTACTCTGTTTGAAGACATCTGGGTAGCTCCACTTTCTCTATGGTTCACTGTATACATTCATCCTGCTTCCTCTCTAGTACTTGTCTGTCCTTTGTGCCCTCTCTACCTTGGGTCCTGTAACAAGTCTTTCAATGGCTTCAAATGCCACCAGTTTAGCTTCTCTGTTTTCTGTGTCCATAGTCTGATACCGGTGTCACAGGGCAGTTTGGACAAGGCCAAATCCTCCCTGAGACTCCAGAGACAGTCCACTGTTGGGGTCCTCTGTTATGCAAAGTAGAAGTCTCTTCACGTCCGGATAGCTCACGAGCTCAGAAACCATGTGCTGCAGATTCCTTTCATAGCAGAGTGCCTTCCTGGCTGTTGGGAGACCTTTGTTATGCAAAAGTCGAAGCTTCTTCACACCGGATAGCTCATGTAGCTCGGGATGTGCTGCGGGCTCCTTTACATAACAAAGTGCTTCCCGGCATCTTTCCTGCCTCTCCTTTTGAGGTGTCCGCCATGAATGCCCTAAACATTAACGTGGCCTTTGTCTCTGAAAAGGTATCATACCTTCCTGTAAATTCCTAGCAGACAACTGTCTGGCAGAAGCCCACTTTTCACATGCAAAAGCATCTAGCAGCCAAGGCTTTTAACAACCCCCATGGTATAAAAATCTTAGTCTTCTCTTAATAGCAGGAGAATTTAGGGAAACCGGGCCCAGGAATTCAGGGAGATCAGAGATATCAGAGAACTGAGTCTCAGATAATAAAGCTGTACAGACTAAAACTAAGCCTTGAGCCTTTGAGTCTTGTGTACCGGCGACCTAACTCCTCCGGAGGGCAGCACCTTCCGTTACCGAGCCACGGATACTCTAGCTTTGCCGTCCTCATGCCTCTTCCCTGTGGGGTTCACTGGCCAGGAGCCCCACTATCCTGAGGAAAGGTATATGGGTGTATTAAGGGACGGGATTTCAACTGGACAAACGCTCCAGTAGCAGGGAAAGCTCAGCAGCAAGAGAAACTGCGGTAGTCATCAGCTACCGCCACTCCCAGAGACGCGGGACCCGAGCCGCCGAGCCCAAGACCCGCAGGGAGTGAGCATACGGCTGCACCCAGAGAGAGAGCACAGCCACCCATATCTGAATCCATATGGAAGCAAATTACAAGACAAGAAATCCTGTGTAACCAGCAGTAGTAGACTGTGGACTCCAAATCATAGCATTTTCCAGATGACAAGGGGTACAATGAATATTGGTTCTGTTCTCTTCTGGAACACTGTTCTACCTCACTTTACTGGAGGAACAGTTCTGTAAACATAGAAGTAAACTTACTACAAATAAGAGTCTCACTCCAGTGGGTGTATATTCTTACAGTTGATCATTTTATATTAGCTAAATCAAATCAGCCTTTCTTTAAATCCCATCTCAGTCATTTACTGGCATGTGACCAATGAGGCTTTTAATATTTTAGTTTCTTTTTAGGTATCAGTCTCATTACTGAGACTTATTGTGTTTTCTTTATAAAAGTTAATAGGAACTCAATCTAATTTTAACTGCGTTGTGGATTTCTTGATAACACCTTATTCGAATGCTCATTTAATGGTGGCTTGCTTCACATTGAAAAGTGTGGTCCAAGTGGCCAGTGGACCTCACATCCTGAGGAAGGTATACGGGTGAAATAGGGACGGGATCAACTGAGTAGACCTCAGCAGCGGAGGAACTTTCACTGCCCAGGAGTGCGCGCTGGGACCCTGAGAGCCCAGCGCGTGCTCGCCTATAGTCCACGTTCTGTCTTCTGGACCCCTTGCATCTCTCAACTTAAGGCCCCTTTCTCTCTTCTCAGAACCAGCAATTCATCATCTCTTCAAATCTGTCTCTTTCCTCAAGTGTGGGGGGTTATTTCAGGTCAGGAAGCCAGAAAGAGAAATGTTTGAAAATACTTCAGGGAAGGGAGGAGCCCTGGAGGCTATCTAGTTGTGGGGAGCCTGAGGGAGTACTGTACTACCTTAGGTAGTGTGCCACTGGTGCAAGGCCCTGAGACAGGGCGAGCAATGATGAGTACCAGTGGGCAGGGCCAATGGGCAGGACAGACATGGGGCTTACTCTAAGCCAATGGGGGACAGCAGGAGTGTTGGAAGTACACAGGAGCATACTCTGAAAATGTAACAGAATCCCTTCAGTTGGCTAGGGAGATGGCTCAGTCAATAAAATGTTTGCCTGAGGACCTGAGTTCTGGGGGAGGATAGATGATAGTGGAGGATGGAGGATGAAGGATGGAGGGGGGAGGAGGGGGGAGGATGCAGGAGGATGGAAGATGGTGGAGGATGGAGGAGGACAGAGGAAGACGGTGGAGGATGGAGGAGGATGGGGGAGGATGGTGGAGGATGGAGGAGGATGGAGGAGGATGGAGGAGGATAGTGGAGGATGGAGGAGGACGGTGGAGGATGATGGAGGATGGTGGAGGATGGAGGAGGATGGAGGAGGATGGAGGAGGATGGAGGAGGATGGAGAGATGGCTCAGTGGTTAAGAGCGCTGGCTGCTCTTGCAAAGGACCCAGGTTTGGTTCCCAGCACCCACATGCAGCTAACAACCATCCATAACTCCATTTCCAGGGGGATCTCTTCTGTCCTA